CTAAGACTCTAGATGATGGGCATTGTGAAAGGAAGATGAAGCTGAGATCTGAATCAGGCATCCTAATCTATATTAGTTTTACAACTTACGAGGACTTAAATTATGCAGGAATCCTGCTTCTTTGTCTGTTTTTAACGTACCTGCTGTCAAAGTCCAGTCTACGCATTGGTTAAAAAGAACACCTCCTCCCTTCGATTGAAACGCTCACACATTTCAAAACTATAACCTTCTTTTACGAGACAATGGCTGTGGAGATTCCTACTTCATTACATTGATTAATTAACATAAATTGAAGCAGAGCCTCTCTATTTATTGATTAATTAACAAAAGGAGCATTTTCCGATCTTCGATGCGCTATGATTTCTAATTCAAATATTTCTACTGTTAAATAGATTGACAACTGAGTGATTATGTGACATGACCTCAACTTATGTATGAATTAGGCAGTTTTGGATCAAAATCACAGGTAAAAAACTGTGGCAGACAGTCTTGGTATCATAAATATATCAGCCATTATTTTATTTAAATAAAGAGCTTTCGCACTTCATAGCAAAGTTAGAGAGCCATAGGAGCGTGGGCTATACCACAGAATCCATGGTTCTCAGGCTCATACTAGTATATTACAACAACATTGTCCCTTTTGACACAATTCGAGGTTGAAGGTAGAGCATGGTACGGACTATCATGTATGCTTAAGTAAGTAAAGCCTGCTTCGGTACAACCCCCTCCACAAACCCTATAAGGGCAGTATTGTCATCATCAAACCGCATACTTATATACATATGTGACATGTATGAGGCATCATACACGCTTTTTATTAAAGTTCAAAAAATGGGGCATGAAATATGAATCGAATTCAAGACTTCTTGGTTGAAAGACCACCACTGTAACCAACTAGGACACCCTAATACTTCTGCCTACTTACTTCTTTTTCTTATTTTATTTTACTTCAGTTCGAGGCTGGGCCGGCCCATTGTTGAACCAGTCCGTTTATCATTATTTCTTTTTTCATTTTTCTGTTCTATTTTTTTATTTCCTTTTTATTTTTTAAAAAATGCTCACACTTATAATTTTTTAGTCGGAAGTTCCAAAAATGTTTGCTTTTCAAAATTTTATTCATAAAGTACAAAATGTTGCATTTAAAAGTACAGATATATCAAAAATTGTTCATTTAAATAGAAAAACTCGGACATCAATATAATTTAATTTATGAATATCTATTAAATAGAAAAATTGTGTGTTTATTGTTCGGTTAAACAAAAAAATTTGTTTATTGTTCGTTTAAATAGAAACATGCTCACATAAAAATATTGAACGCTACTAAAATTTCTGAACATCTATTCAATAGAAAATTAAAAATGAAAATACATCAATCAGCGACCGGTTTATTGTTTGATTTTTGTTTCTTTTTCATTGTTATTGTTTTTTATTTTCATTTTTTGTTCTTTTCCTTTTTTAAATGCTCACATCAATATAATTGACCAAAAAAATTCCACACACTAGCATCACCATGACAAGCATCCATGCTAAAAATTTCATTGAGTTATGACATTTAAATTTTTTCTAGGATTTTTCAGTAAAAAAAACACAAAAACACTAGCCGAATGTGAAGCAATGTGCGTTCGGTGTCTGAATTACTCAAAATTTTGCATGAAGGCCTACCATGAGCATGGCCACATGCTGGAAAAAATTTGGCGTCATTTCATGCAAGGCAAGAAGCACACCATGTTCAAAGATGGTGGTTCGGGTAGGCTGGTAGGGCAAGTCTGGATGCACTTTTTTCACATCAATAAAATGGACCAATTTTTTTCCCGCACACTAGCATTACCATTCCAAGGATCCATGATAAATTCGATTGAGTTCTGACATTTTATGCAGTTTCTAGGGCTTTTCAGGTGAAAAAACCCT